GCCTCCAGTATGGACTGAGGCTCAATGTCAAGAAGACAAAGATTCTTACCACTGGACCAATTGGCAGCATCAGGATGGATGGTGAAGAGATTGAGATTGTTCACGGCTTTAGTTTGCTTGGCTCCACAGTCAACACTCTTGGCACCAGTAGCCAGGAAATTAACAGACGTATTGCTACGGGAATGTCTGCTGTTAGGGACCCCTCCAAAGTACTGAAGAGCAATGGTGTCTCTCTGGAGACTAAGGTGCGTCTGATACAGGCCATGGTCTTTGCTATCACTTGTTATGTATCAGAGAGTTGGACAATGACTAAGGAGGATAGAAGGAGAATTGATGCCTTTGAGCTGTGGTGCTGGAGAAGAGTGTTGAGGGTACCATGGACTGCTAGGAAAACAGATTCATTCTGGAGAGGGTTAAACTGGGCGGCTCCTTGGAGGCAAGGATTCTGAGGCTCCTTCTAACATACTTGGGACATGTTGTAAGGAGATACTGGTCCTTGGAGAAGGACATCATGCTTGGGAGGGTGGAGGGACAGCGCAGGAGGGGAAGGCCCTCTATGAGGTGGATTGATTCAGTGACTGGGGTAATCAGGATGGGAGTGTCAGAGACAGTGCAATTGGCACAAGACAGAGCAGAGTTTAGGGCTATAGTACATAGGGTCGCTATGAGTCGTAAGTGACTCGATGGCACTTAACAGCAACAACAACAGGTCTACATGGACTTGGTGTCGTCGTCGACTACAGGTGGACCAATCTGCCTGGATTTCCTTTTTCCTTATTTTTAAAAAGAAATGTTGTCTTTTGTTCAGTTTTAGATTTTAAAAAATCTGCAGATTTCAGTTTCCTCCTATTACTGATATCTTGCATGGCATCCACTTCCTAAACAATATGCCTCTGGAAACTCTATGAACTTGGAGAAATGACAATAGTTATACAAAGACCCTAGGGTTGCTATGAGTTGTGCTCAACTCGATGGGAATCAACAACAGTGTAAACTTTTTACAATTTATGAACCATTGTTTTTAAAAACATTTATTTTGGAGGTATTAGATAAAAGATGGTCAGGTTTAGGCTCTCAATCAGAGCAGGACAAGGAGGTTGGTTTTTGATGAGGAGGTGATTATTCGAGAGCTCTTGCTATTAATTTGGTATTTTTAGTTTAGTGCACCAAGGAACTCTGGTGGCCTGGTGGAGAAGGAGTTGCACTGCCGATTTAAAGGTGGTGGTTGTTATTTACCTTTGGGTCAGAACTGACCCATAGCTGACCTTCCAGTGAATTTTCAGAGGCAGTTAATTGCACAGGAAAAGATTTTTCCATCCTTCTTCTGTGTAGCAACTGGTGGATTTGAACCATGTGCCTTCAGGATTGTAGCACAGCGTTTTACCACTAGGCCGTCATAGCTCCCTAACCCAAAGGTGGTAGTTGTTAGTCAGTCAAGTACAACTCATAGTGATCTATGCACATGAGATCTGACCACTGTCCTATCCTGTGCTAGTTCATCTCCTCTCTCAACACTTGAGCCCATGCAGCTACTGTGTCTGTCCATCTCATTGAGGATCTTCCTCTCTTTTGCTAACCTTCCACCTTTCCAAGCATGATGTTCCTGCCCAAGGAATAGCCTTTCCTAATAACATGTCAGAATATGTGAGATAGAACTTCATCATCCTTGTCTCCAGGGAGCACTCTGGCTGCACTTTCTTTAAGACATTCTTTTGACAGTCTCCCAAGGACACTCCCCTTTCAGCTGATTGGCTGCACACATCACCTCACACTATGGAAGGTCATTCCTTAGTGTTTGCTAACTACTGAAAATCATAGTCTAATCAAGTTGATATCTAACATCTCCCTCATCACAATGCTTTTCCAGAGTTCTTTTTCCCCCTTCCTCATTTATTGAGATTTGAGTGAAAGCATGTTGTTGTTGTTGTTGTTAAGTGCCGTGGAGTTGTAGGTGACTCATAGGAACACCATGAACAAAAGTCCTGGACACTTGCATGAGCGACTTTCATCCTTTCTCCAGGTTCATAGGGTTTCTGGAGGCAAGCTATTTACGGGAAGTGGATGCCACTCGTGCTTCCAAGCTTGTTTCAACCGAGAGCACTACCAAACACTGTCCACTGTGGGTAACCGTTATCCCATTAAACACATCAGTGTTGCAGTGTTCAGCTTCACAGCAACCACAAGTTATGTCTGTCCAGCAAGTGGACACACCAGGGCTATATGACCTAGAAGAATGTTTCACCAAAAGCTATTAAAGACAGGCCTTAGGGTTGCGGATTAGAGTCACCCACCTTTGGCTTGGGAGCAGTGAAAGCACACAGGCATATTTTTTTAGCTAGTCATTAGTGTACATTCATTACAGTACTCCAGTGTCTGAATGTCCATTTAATCACAGTGTCTTCCTTTTCACCCATATTACTAAGTCCTCATTGTGGTTATTTTTAGGTGCTGTCAAGTCAACTATGACTCATACCAACCTGTGAAGAGCAGACCTGAACTGAGTCCTGTTCAATCTATTAATTTTTTATTTCCCATATCCTTCTCCTCCCTGGAAACCAACCTAGTATGATTCTTTCTGTATGTAGACTTTTTTAAGCATTTTATAACAAAGTACTTACACAGTATTTGTCCCTTGTGACTGAGTTCTTGCACTCAGCCATAATGTCCTATAGACTCATCTGTGTTGTGCAGTGTTTTATGAGTTCCTCATGGTGCATAATCCTCTACTGTATGAGTGTACCATAATATCTGTTCATTCATTGAAGAGCTCTTGGGATGTTTCTATGTATTTGCTATTGTGAATAATACTGCAGTGAAGAGGGGTGTGCATGTATGTTTGTATCGCAGCAGGCTTCTTATTTTAAAAGAAAATTTTATTTTAATTGTAATTTTAACAAATGTTAGATTTTCATTTATTCATTGTTGTGCATTTTACCTCCTCTTCTACTCCCTCCCCATTCACATTTTTTTTTAAAGTCATTCATTGTTGCACAATTACCTACCCTTCCAAGTCCTCTTTGCAATTATATACTTCTTATTCTGGGCTGTTGTCATACATATAATCCCTAATTATATACTCCTTTTAGACAGTTCTTTCCTTCATCTGTTCCAATGCAATGGTCATTATCTATCTACTGTTAATCCTGTTCTCTTCCCAATCCCTCATGTCAGACCTGCTTTATAATAGTGTTATAGGCAATATTTTTCCTTGTGTGACTGAGATATCTCACTCAGCATGATGTCTTCCAGGGTTCCCCATATTATATAATGTTATACGAGTTCATTGTTTTTCAGTGCTGTGTATTATTCCATTGTGTTAATATACCATGGTGGTTCTACCCATTGATTTGTTAATGGGCACTTTGGTTGCTTCCATCTTTTTTGCTATTGTAATAAACATGGGTATGCATGGGTATGAATATATGTTTTGGATGGCATTTCTGGTTTCTTTAGGGTATATTCCCAATAGTGGCATTGCTGGGTCAAATGGTATTTCTATTTCCAACTTTTTGAGAAAGTGCCAAGCTGCCTTCCATGTGGTTGCATCATTTTGCACTCCCAGCAGCAGTGAGTAAGGGTTCCAATCTCTCCACAGCCTCACCAGAATTTACTGTTTGCTGCTTAGACAGGCTTTTTGTACTTAGCAATATGCATTTGCTATTCCTGTGTCTTTCTTGTGGCTCAATAAAAATATCTTTCTAAAAATTGTGGTAAAATATATATTACTAAAACTTTGCCATCTTAACTAGTATTATGTACAATTCAGTGGCATGAGTTACTTTCAACAGTTATTTCTTTTTATTGCCTGATCTTGTATTGATTAATGTACTACAGTTTGTCCATCCATCTGTTGAAAGACATCTTTTGTTTTTTACAATGTTTGGCAGGTTTAGCTACACGAGACCTATCGACTATCTCATACTTTGATGTTTTACATATAGAACAATAGTAAAAATCTACTGTGACCGTACTGTGGCTGTCTTTAGCACTGAGGTACCAGACAAAAATAATGCTGGCTGTGATGCCTTGTATATTGCTGGAGTTGCATCGTTTCCCCACACTTAGCAAGTTTTTTGTTTTTGACAACATGCATTTTTGCCATTTTCTTGCCCAGTTTAGTGGAAAATACTTGCATTTCCCTTCTCTGACATTTTTTTCTACTTACAGGGGTTCCAGCTTTTATAGATTTTTCTATATTACCTCTTATATAAAAACAGATGCAGAGCTAAAATAACTTAGCTAAAGGTGTAGTCACGTGTCCATTGTCATTTGTCCATTTCTTTACTTTGTTGTTAAGTGCCGTTGAGTAGGACTCAGAGTGATCCTAAGAGCAATTGATCTGAGCCCTGCCCTGTCTTGTGCCATGCTGACCATCTCTGACATAATCCAGGCCACATTTACTGTTACTGTTGACACATTGTATTGAGGGTCATCCCCTCCTTCGCCAAGCATAATATTATTTTCTAAGGACTAGTCTCTATTTAACAACATACCCACAGTATAAGAGACTAAGTTTTCCTATCCTTGCCCCCAAGGAGTGCCCTGGCTGTGCCTCTTTTAAGACATATTTATTTGTTCCTTCCACCATCTGTGGGGTATTCAGTACTCTTCCTCAACATCACAATTCAAAGGCATCCTTATTCATTGTTCAGCTGTCAGCTGGTTAGCAAGTAATTGAAATGATCCTGATTTGGATCTTAGTCTTTGGACTGACATCATTGTTCCTCAGCATGTTGGAGAGGTCCCTGACAGCAGACTTCCCTAATGATTCCTTAAATCTGAGCTAAGGGCCTGTAAACGTGAGGGTCTGTTCCCAGTGCTGGACTGGGGATACAGGTATGAGGCTTGTATCGGTGGCCGCACAGATCCTGTGCAGTTGGTGGGAAGTGCGTCTGACAGTTTGTGCCTGGAGTAGGGGCAAGCTGCATGGGGGCCGAGGTACCTACTTATATCCTGTGCTCAGAGGTGCATTCTCTTCTCTTTTTCCTGAAGGTCGCCTGGTAGGTGCTCTGGACGCAGTGCTGGACTCCAACGCTCGAGTCGCCCCGTTTCGAATCCTCCTTCAAGTTCCCGGCTCTCAGGTCTATTCTCCCATAGCATGTGGTGAGTTACTGAATGGATCAGACGTTTACTGGGCCATTGCCTCTGGTGAGTTCTGTTCTGGTCAAATTTCCAGGCCTTGCGGTCTAAGCATGCTGAGCTCCTGCATGTCTGCGAAGCTGAAGGTAACCACTTGGAGAACCTTGCTTTCTGTTTTTAACTGTCAAAACACATGAAAGCTGAAATCCTGGGTAGAGACGGGGCCTGCCAGGCTGTTGTGTGATGTGTTATTCCTCGGTGCCCATATGTAACAGAGTGCAGATCAAGGCTTTTGCTGCGTAATCTCATCTTGGCCAGCATAGATGGTTTCATGGATGCCTACACATGGTATAGTGGTGGGGGAAAGCCCGTGAACATGGGATGTTGGGCGGTCTTCAGGCCCTTTTCCTACATTTGGATTGAGAGGACTGGCAGGCCGCTGAGGGAATTTAACATAGAACTGTGCAGGGTGTTGGCTGCTGACAAGAGGCCTTGCATCTCCAGTGGCTCAAATCTACCAGCTGCTCGCAAGGAGAGAGGTGAGCAGTCTCTTCATACAAAGAGTCACAGTGTTGGAAGCCCGAGGGAGTCTCAGGGAGTCAACCGACTCAATGGCAGTGAGGGGTTTTATGTTGGTGGGGTTTTTTTTTAAAGATTAAAGGAGTCCTATGTATGTGTACTGTCAAACCAGATCTGACTGGTACAGGAGGAGATTGTCCCTCCTTCTCCAGCAGAGCATCTGGTGGATTCAAGCCACTCACCTCAGGGATTGCAGTGCAGCTTCTTGCCACTAGGCCACCAGAGCTCACCTCACAGAAGAATTTGATGAAATAACATATGAGCAAGAGCCTATGGTGATGAAGGAGGAAGTTCAAATTGCTCTGAAGGAATTGGCAAAAAACAAGGCTCCAGGAGTTGATGGCATGTCAAATTGACATATTTCAACAAACAGACACTGCCCTGGATAACTCACTAACTTGTGCCAAGAAATCTTGAGGCCAGCCACATGGCCGACTGACTGGAAAAGATTGATATTTGTTCCCATTCCAAAGAAAGGTGACCCAACAGAGTGCAGGAATTATCGAACAATATCATTAATATCATATGCAAGCAAGATTCTGCTGTAAATTATCCAAAAACGTTTGGAGCAATATTTCAACAGAGAACTGCCGGATCTGTAGGCTGGATTTAGAAGAGGTCCTGGAACTAGGGATATTATAGCTAATGTCAGATGGATCTTGGCAGAAAGCAAAGAATACCAGAAGAATGTCTATCTGTGCTTCATTGACTATGCAAAGGCTTTTGACTGTGTGTATCACAACAAGCTGTGGCTGACTCTGAGAAGAATGGAAGTCCCAGAACATTTGATTATGCTAATGTGAAACCTATACTTGGACCAAGAGGCAGTCATCAGAAGAGAGCAAGGAGACACTACGTGGCTCAAAATCAAGGAGGGGGTCCATCAGGGATGTATTCTGTCTCCACACCTTTTCAGTCTGTATGTGGAACAGATCATCTGAGATGCTGGGCTGTACGAGGAGGAATGTGGCATCAGGATTGGTGGAAAAGCCATCAACAACCTGCATTATGCAGATGACACAACCCTGCTTGCTAAAACTGAGGAGGACCTGAAGAGCTTGCTATAGAAGGTCAAGGATTGCAGCTTCCTATATGGATTGAAGCTCAACATCAAGAAAACAAAGATTCTCACCACTGGGCCAATTGGCAGCATCAGTATGGATGGTGAAAAGATTGAGATAGTTAACAGTTTTCGTTTACTTGGCTCCACAGCCAACACTCTTGGTAACAGCAGCCAGGAAATCAAGAGATGACTTGCATTGGGAAAGTCAGCTGTGAGGGACTTCTCGAGAGTACTGAAGAGCAATAACATCAAGCTGGAGACTAAGGTGCACCTGATCCAGGCCATAGTCTTCACAGTTACGTGCTATGCATTGGAGAGTTGGACAGTGAACAGGGATGATAGAAAGAGAATTGATGCCTTTGAGCTGTGGTGCTGAAGAAGAGTGCTGAATATACTATGGACTGCTAGGAGAACAAACAGGTTTGCCCTGAAGAAGGTGAAGCCGGCATGCTCCTTGGAGTCAAGGATCTGAGGCTTCGTCTGACATACTTTGGGCATGTTGCAAGGAGAAACTGGTCCTTGGAGAAGGACATCATGTTTGGCAGAGTGGAGGGCTGGTGAAGGAGAGGAAGATCTTTGATGAGATGGATCGATTCTGTGACTGGAGTGGTGGGAATAAGTGTGTTTGAGATGGCTAGGTTGGCACAGGATAGAACGGTGTTTAGAGCTCTTGTACTATGACTCTATGGCACATAACGACAACAACAGCAACAAAGGAGTCCTGGTAATGCATTTGTTAAGTGCTTGGCTATTTAACAGAATAGCGAGCACATTGAACTCACATGGAGCCTCTTCAGGAGAGATTGCTTCTGTAAAGATTATGGCCAATGGATGGCCAACAGGGATGGGAAGAGAGGGGAGTGAGAATTAATACATAAATGGATTGAGTGGCTCTTGATGGTAGGTGCTGTTGAGTCAGAACCAGCTCATAGCTGACCCTCCAGTGGGTTTCAAAGGCTGCAGATTGCACGAGAGGAGATTGCTCATTTTTCTCCCACAGATCAGCTGGTGGATTCAGACTGTCAGCCTTTGGGTTGACAGCCCAACGCCTTCCCACTAAGCAAGCCAACAGAGCTCTGCAAAACTGGGTGGAGGGAAAGGCAATTCATAATAAAGTGGTAACTCACACCCACTAATACTCAGCACCAACTCATAGCTGCCCCTCCAGTGGGTTCTCAGAGGGTGTAAATTGTACAGGAGGAGATTGTTCTCGTGGAACAGCTGGTGGATTCGAGCCCCCTCGCCTGCCGTTGACCCAACAACACAATTCTTAATTACCCACTAGGCCGCCAGAGTTCCCTAACTAGTTAATTGCTTCAGTCAATTATAATTAATGTTATAAAACAAAATGTCTGTGAATGATTGAATGAAAGCCCAATGATTTGTAAGTTTTCATGCAAATAGAATTTTATTTTTTTTTAATGAGGGAAGAGAAAAGATTACAGTCAAGAAAACTCTCTGGGAAAATTCTACTCTGTCACTTGGGGTTGCTGTGAGTTGAAAATTAACCTAACAATAATAGTTATGTTTTACTCATTGCCATTGAGTTGCAACCAACTCACAGCTGACCCTCCAGCAGGTTTTCAGAGATAGTCAGTCGCACAGGAGAAGATTGACCATATTCTCCTATGGAGCAGCTAGGGGATTTGAACCACTTACCTTTGTATTGACAACACATTTCCTCACCAGAGCTTCCTCAGCAGGTTTTTAAGAGCATTTCATCTCACTAGAGGAGGTTGCTTGTTCTTCTTCCATGGAGCTGCTGGTGGGTTCCAGTTGCCAGGTGACTGTATCAACCACCACTGGCTAGATCTTGATTTCTCTCTCTTGAAGTAGCCATGGTGGCATAGAAGGTAAAGAATTTGGTTGCTAACTGAAGGGTTGATAGTTTAAGCTCATCAGCTGGCCTATGAGAGAAAGATGTGGCGATCTGCTTCCATGTTGATTTAGAGTGTTGGAAACCCGATGGAGCAGTTCTGCTCTGTCCTGTAGGATTGCTGTATGATGGAATTGACTCCATGGCAGTGAACTTGAAGTTGGTTCTTCTTTTTTATTTTATTTTATATTTTTGGTTCTTCTTTTTATATTTTAGAATTTTGTTCCCCATTTGTTGTTCTCCATTGTTTCCCATACTACCCAGGATCTTCTACTGTGATTCCTTTGAGCAGTCAACAGTAGGAGCTGGGAGTCATCTAGTTCTGCTATCAAAGTCTTGAAAGTTGAGGTTCAAATGGTTCATTAGTCCTTTGGACTAATTATTTCTTGGTTTTGTGTATTTCTAAATCTACATCCACGTGACTCATAGCAGACCCTCCAGTGTGTTTTCAAGAAGCTTTAACTCTCACAGGAGGAGAGAGTCCCTCTTTCTCTGAGAACCACTGGTGGTTAGAACTGTCAGAGACACAAAGCATTTAGGTTAGCAGCATGACTCTCTACAGACTACCCCACCAGGGCTCCGTAATACTTGATTAGCTACCATAAACGTTCGCCAGAACTTCACACTCTAGTGACATTGAATAACTTCCTTCTTGGAGAAATATATGAAAGTACAAGAAGGGAAATATCCATATTCCACCATCTACTCCTAAAATGTGTTAACCTCTTGGCATATTTATTTTGAGTCTGTATCCTTTGTGTTGCTTTTTCATGAATATAAAACATTCTGAGTTTGTGTAAAATGATGCTCCTTAGAAGCAAGGATGGTGAGATTTCAACTCAATACTTTGGACAACTTGGCAAAGCAGAGGGTGAGCCAAGAAGAGGAGGACCCTCAACGAGAGGGTTTGACACAGTGACTGGGATAATGGACTCAACAGCAATTGTGAGCCGGGCCTGGTCCTGGGTAGCCTTTCATTCTGTTGTACAGAGGGCCCATATGAGTGGGCGTCAGCTCGCAGCACCGACAACAGCGGGCATGAAGAAATCGAGTGCCAGAGAAAAGAAAGAAAAAAAGAGAGATATATGTTACCCCAAATCCTGACCACCCAAAGTCACCTCCTTATGTGAATACCATGCCAGACAAGTTTCCAAAGCATTTAGACAAGTTAATGGATAGTTAGGAAAATGGACAGAAGCACTTTTATTAAAATCCTGCTTCTCATCATTACTATATTATAATAATGGTATTAACTTCACTTAGTTTCAATAGGAGGAAAGAAACTGAAGAAATGTTAGGTTTCAAATAAATATTTCTTCAATGCAAAATACTGTTTTCTAAAAGTTCAATCTGAGGTTAAGGAGAGAACAACCACCTGGCCAACTGACTAGAAGAGATCCATATTTATTCCCACTCCAAAAAAATGTGACATAACAGAGTGTGGAAATTATTGAATAATCAGCCTTAAATATGGATTGAAGCTCAATATCAAGAAGATATTCTCACTATGGGCCTATGGGCAGCATCATGACAGACAGTGAAGAGAAAGAG